CAGTCAGAGAAGTCATAATTTTCTCGTTAAGAAATTTACAGTAGGTTCTCTATAACTAAACAGGTTTCAAAAAAGCGTTTCATTTCCAATCAGTATTGCTGATACGCAAACTTATGACGATCTTTGAATTCCAATAAAAAAACTTCCTAGTTGGATAATTTTCTTGTTAATGTTTCGCTCTCTACGAGTATTATCAAAATAAATCGTCGAACCGAGAATGATGGTGGATCTGTTAATAATTCGATTAATTTATAAATTCTCTAAAAATCTAAGCCTTTAGAAAGAAAGAAAGAAAGAAAGAAAGAAAGAAAGAAAGAAAGAGACAAAGAAACAAAGAAAGAAAGGAAGAAAGAAAGTACAAAAGAAAGAACAAAAAAAAAAAAAGGAAAGAAAGAAAGAAAAACGAAAAGAAGAACGAAAGAACAAAAACAAAGAAACAAAGAAACGAAGAAAGAAATAAAGAAAGAAAGAAAGCACGAAAGAAAGAAAGAAAGAAAGAAAGAAAGAAAGAAAGAAGATAAGGTGAACAAATGAAAGTAGTCACTGAAAGATATTCAGTGACCTAAATAGAAATTGAAAAAAAATCAACCTGGTGATAATATTATTATTATTATTATTATTATTTTGCAGCGATGAACATCTTCAGCACGTAGTGTTTTTGCTTTGACGCCGACAAATAAATCTTTCACTTAGTTAAAAAATAGGCACCATTAATTCTATCTCCTTTTTTTCCTCGTGTCGTATATATTTCCATGAGTTCATGAATTATAACCTGATCAATATTTTGGGCGTATTCGATCTCCTATTAAAAAAATTACTTAAAAGGGAAAAAACCTTGCCTTCGATATTACAATCGATCACTGATCAAGGACTTATAAAAAGAATGCCTATAGAAATACAAACAATAGACGTATTTCTATACGCAGCTCATAACTGACTTATCTTCAGTCAGCGATTCTCAGTAACAGCGATCAGCCATTATTTCTTTACGGTTATTTTTCAGGATGAATTTTTAAAGTATATGAAGAAATATGGCGATGGAAATATTTTCTTCTTACGAATAGTGATTAAACGTGAACGTCTGCATATTACCAGGAATCTAAAAAGAAATAACGATTCAACGAAGAATCTTTTCTTAATTCTTAAACATATTTTTTATAATGCGTGTTAGTGGCCTAATTGCCTTGCTAGGGTGAAAATGATTGATTGAAAAAAAAAGATGAAAACATATCAAAACTTTTATTTTTAACTATAACTTATTTCCGTTTACGGAAACGAATTCTAATGACGAATGAATCATAATTATATTTGGCAGTTAAAAATAAATTTGGGGTACACGTATCAATGTTTTTACACGGCAATTGTAGCGTAGACAGTGGATTAAAGAATTAATTTCTTAAACCCACTAATGGCGGGGAGTAAAAAATGCATTTGGTTCACATAAGGTTATGGGAGTTCAAGCAATTGAATAAAGCTATGGAAACATCTAGAAAAACATGATATGTTTATATAGAAATAGTCATAACTGACCGACAGTTAAGACATTGGTTTGTAAAGTTTGATTTTGGTGAAACGTCATTGTAAGATGAACCCAGACCGCGTCGTCTATTTGACTGTGGTTCCCAACTGATTTTAGGCCATGCCCCACTTTGGTATTTCTAAAATTCTGGTGCCCACCTCCCCTGTAATATTTAATTCTTACATATTCAAAATTCTACTGCAATTCACGTAAAGGAAGCTTAAAAGGCCATTAACTTGGTCTTTAAACAAGCCTTCAAAGACCATGACATCCATGAAAGAAAATAATTACAAAAAAAAATGTTAAATATATATAGTTATATGTTTTGAAACTATATATTAGTTTCAAAACATATAATAAAAAACTGAAAGGTAGAAATATAAAATATTTGAATGAAAGCTTATTCTATAAAATACTTTGTTCATTTAATCATGAAATAATAATGCAAAATAAAATTTAAGCTCACTAGAAAACAATTCACTGTTAATAACTAATTCTCGAATTGCCCCCTTATTCTGTTGATATTGATTTTCCAAGCGTAGCTTAGATGTGACACAAGGCCGAAAGTATGAGGCACCCAGTGAGGATCGAACTCACTACTCAGTCGTAATTGTTCTAGCGAGACAAGCTTGCTAACCATTACACCGCCTTGGGGTGCCCAAATAAATGTATTTTCTAAGCCCGTTATAGATGTGACACAAGGCCGAAAGTATGGAGCACCCAGCTTATTCTGTTGATATAGTAAGCCGAAAGATACATATTCTACGCATACCCCACCAAAATATTACCATTCACCACCAGTGGGGCATGTGGCCCACGTTGGAAATATTTTCTATAAAGTTATTAATGGGAAGCAATCCGCGACAGAATCTTCGAGAATTTGGAACAATGTTAAACATCTCACAATCTACTTTATACCAACACTTAGAAAAGACATGGCGGCTCAGCAAGCAAAGGGTTTTCCTTCCACACGAAGAAAAAACGAACAAAACTGATCGTTGTTAAACATAAAAAGAAATTATTTTTGACTGAACCTAAAATGATACTGAAATATTTTTAACAAAACGTAAAAAGAAATTAAGAGATTTAAAACAATCACATTATTTCTGTTTAAGTTTGGTTACAAAAGGCATTTCTTGCCTCTTCAATCTTAAGAGAGAGAAAGCATTTAATATTCAACGTGTAATCTGAAGGTTTTTTTTTAAATTTAAATATATTTGTTTTTAAATTTATTAGTGAAATATCACGACTTTTGGACGCACGAAAATATGTTTCGCAAATGAGAAGACTCTTATAGATTGAAACGGATACGGAACTTCCTGATAGTAAGCTTCGCTACTGTTTTAAGTTATAATTATTAGTATCCATTTTATACTCAAAGCCAACTCCAATCAATGTTTTTTATAGAAATTTGTCGAACCGAATTTGAAAGAACGTTAATTTTCAATTTCTAATCTCATATTAGGCATGGGGTAATTTCCCAAGTCGTCTACCATTGAAAACCAGAAACTGAATACCGTAATTCCCCATGTATAATACACCTTCATCCATAATACGTACCTCTAAAATTGTGCTGAAAGTATGGGAAAATGATTCTATTCAAACATAATACGCACTCTTTGTTTGGTATTTAAATACTATAAATTATAACTCTCCAATTTCATTACGGCCAGCGTTTCCTACTCTTATTAAAAAATATGATTTTAAACATAGAATAATATTATTCTAATTTAGTTTTATGATAATTTTTATTTTATTTTACATTTGTAAGTATTGCTAGGTACATATGATTGTATTTGACATCCTTATGAGTTCGCAATCGAATGTTAATGTCAAATTGTCGTATGTTTATGGTGAGTAGTCATTTCGCAACTGAAATCGACCTATAAAACGTCAATATTTTAAAGATTTTATGTAACTGTGCATAATACGCACCCCTAATTTTGCTTATTAATTTTTTAGAAAAAATGCTTATTAAACATGGTATATCGTAAAAAAAAACGATTGTAGAATTTTGGAACACAATTTTTACAGATCCAAATAGTAAACAGTTTCAGATATTTTTATTCTAACATTTTTGCCAAAGTTTTGTGTTCTTATCTTTTTATGAAAGTAATCAATTATAAGATATCTTTTGAATTACAGGAGGTACGTTCAAAAAGTATTCGAGTCTATTGTTTGCCGACTAATTCCGCGTCAGCAAAATTCATTGGGTGGGCGGTGGCGCCAAGCTTCTTGCGCATGCGTGAAAATTTCCGCGCCGGTAGCTCGCGTCTGTTCCGGTTTTTATGCCTAGAGTACAGACGTTTAGTGCACGCTAGATGACCGACTACATCGAACAAAGATATTGCATCAAGTTTTGCCAAAAAACTGGTGATACTCAAGTCATCCAGAAGATACCATGGTCAAAACTCTGATCAAGATTTTGATCTGAGTTTTGCCTATCAACAGCTTGAAACATAGCTACACTTCAGCGAGGCAGTCTATCCGCAAGTTGAAACGAGGAGCTGATTGAGAAGGGTCGGCGAATAGTCAATGAAAGACCATCGGCTAACAATGCAGGAAACTGCTCACAAAGTTGAAATAAAAACATAATCAGTGCTTACCATTTTAATGTAGGATTTGTACATGCAGAGAGCGCCCGCTTATTCCGCCCACACAGTCCTAGATTTCCTGATTAAGAACAACAGTCTATTTTTTCGACAGGCTCCTTAAATATCGCGACTTGGCATCGTATGACTTCTAGCTCTTCCCCAATCTGAAAATCACGTTGAAAGGGAAGTGATTTGAGTCGTAAGAATAAAATTATAAGAAAAGCGATGGCGGAACTCCATAGTATTATAGACAAAGCGTTCCAGACATGTTACTAGCTGTGGTAGAACTTCCAAGGTGATTAAATAAATATTTCGAAGGTGATTAAATAAAATTTTTGAAATATACAAAATTCCTGTTTTACTCCCAGAGGTCGGATACTTTTTTGAAAACACCTCGTATATATTTTTAATTTGATTTATTATTAATTACTAACGAAAATCAAGATTAATTTTAAAGTTTTATTGCTTTAAGAGCTTTTATTTGCTTTCAATGTCTTATTGTACCTTTTTCTTTTCATTTTTCTTTTTCAGCCGCCTTAGCTCGAAGCAAAAGCACACCAGGTCTAGTCGAGTCCCTTGGTCAAGTTCCGATTGACACGATGACAATGCAACGACACCACACGCTTCCTGCAGGATTACCGAAAAACCAGAACTCTTCCGCGCCCAGTCGTGTTGGTAGTATGACCTCAAATTTAGGTAAAAGCGACAACGAGAACACCCTGTCAACTGAACCGGGAAGTGGTTCAAACGCCTCGGGGGTCCCCGTCCGTACGATAGCGGGTGGAATCATCGGTCCGTACGATGAAAATTCGTCCAAACATCTCTGCGAGCATGCCACCAACGTGTGTACCCTGACCACGTCGATGACAATCTCCAGTATCACTTCGATGACCGCAGCCGGCTCCTCGCCCATGAGGTCCCCGCTGGGCACGGAGGCGCCGCGCTCTGTCTTCTCTCCACCCACGTCCCCACGCTTACTGTACGGCACTCAGCCAGACCTCCAGCATCAAGGCCATGCCATGCAGACTCTACTCCCTGACATGCCAAGCGGAACGCCACGCCGGGTCGTTCCTTCGCCGATTTCGACCCAGCTCTACCATCACCATATCACGCCGTTCTGCCAACAGCAGCCTTCCGTTACTATCAATACCCCACCCCAGATTTCCACCTTCTTTACGCAACCGTTTTGTGCCTCAAACTATGCTCCCTCCACCCCTACCTTCTCTCGATCAGTCGCTGGAAGCATTCCTTCCTCCCAGGCAAACCTCTGTCCACCTCTATCGCCATTTCCTCCACCGCTGTCTGTCAGTCCTTATCCCGGTCAAGCACCTAGTATTCAACTGAGTCCTCTACCGGGAAGCAGTGTTACCGGAAGTCTCACCGGAAGTCTCACGTCGCCGCGAGACATGTCACATGACTTGCTGCTTCAGGAGATCACGAGTCTACGAGAGAGACTTGCCTGCTTGGAGAGTGAGAACGCCGCGATGACAGTGAAGCTAAATCAACAACAGTGGGATGTCGAACACCGCTTGGCCGAAATTGAGATGCACATGTGCGGGAGTGATAGCGTGGCCAGTGTCGATGGTAGCGCCACCACCGGCGATGACAAACTACTTGAACCAGTAAACAGGGAGTCTATTATATGATTTAAAAAGCGCACTGAACGTATTGGAAAGCATTCATCATCTTTTGAGCGAGACTTTTGCAAGGTTTGAAATTGGAAGAAAGACGGTAATAACATAAAGAAATGAAAGATAACAAGAAAAGAAAAGGAAATATGAAAAGACAGCAAGAAGGATAAATTAGAAGGTGAGTTTTGTAAGGAAAACCTGAGGAAAAAAAAGTAAAGACGATTGATAATAATGAATGAACCTATCATGAAATAAATGATAATAACGATTGTGCCCATTTTATGATATTTATAAGACAATGGAAGTTTTATTCATATGGATTGAAATAAAAATGCGACGAAAAAGACGACAGCTCAGAACTGTTCAGAGAAATGAAACAAAACGAAATAAAAAATACAAGAAAAACAATATAAGCAAAAGCGAAAGACAGAAAAAAAAAAAACAGAAAAACAAAACGGTCATGTGTAGGCAGTGAAATTTTCGCCAGGAAAACAAACATATTTTCTTATGTACATGGATGGAACATTCAGAGAGAAAAGCTGTTAAATATTAAAAAATACTGATAAATCTAAAAATAAAAAAAAAGAGAAAACACTTATAAATTAAAATACTTTAAAGCTGACCCCACATATTTATCTAAGCAGACTTTTAAACCTGACTGATACACAACTCGAATATCACACACAGAAACACACACAAATATATATATATATATATTATATTATATATATATATATGAAACTGTTTGCATTCATATTTCTCTGCATGTGGTTTTACTAATGATAATTGCATTAAGGTCAAGCACCTAGTGAACAATACAAATCAACATTCCTGATAAAATACATGAATTATGAACAGCATCTCTCATATCACAATTAACGTTATACGTAAATGCATGTACGTGTATTTGTGTTTATATATGTGTGTATATATATATATATATATATATATATATATGTGTGTGTGTGTGTGTGTGGATGTATATGTTTAAACATACGGATATATATATATATATTCAAAGCACACACGTAGGAATATATATATATACACATATATATATATATATATATATATATATATATATATATATATATATATATATATATATATATATGTGTATATATATATATATATATATATATATATATATATATATATATATATATATATATATATATATATTCAAAAGCACACACATAGGAATTCGAATATGAATGTAAGTAAAAGATGGCAGCAACATTTCTCATAGAGAAAAATCGACAATGGGTTTTTATTTACTAAATCCCGCTTGATGGCATCATCTGAAGCAGAATTCGACTTTTCACTTGCGGCATGTGAAAACACAATTCGCGAGATTAAAACAGTTTTCTTTTCCGTCTTTTTCAATACGAAATATTTTATTCATAAGGTTTGTCAAATTGAATGAAACGAAGGTAAAAAAAAAAAAAAGTATACGCATCATGGCAACATGACAATGTCATCAAGAAAACTGGACTAAAATATTCTTCACATGAAAATGAATGGAAAAGGAGAAAGATCGAAGAAAAATACAGCGATGCACGAAGTAAATCGCGTAACATTTTACCGACAAAAAAATGAAACCACATGATTAAAAAATGCTCAAAATATGAAAACTGGAAGAAATTAAATATAAATTTATCCAATTTGTAGATAAATTTTATAAAATATTCTACATGTAAAACAAAATATTACATTGCATTTTGCAGATGGAGTCGAAACATAAAATATGGTGGTGACAGATTAGGATATTAGGGCAGGTGATATTTTAAAAAATTCGAAAGACTGAAATCTGTATGAAAAACAGAAATTTTTTATATATATACTTTGAAGCACATAGCCTAAAACTGAAGAAATATATATATATATATATATATATATATATATATATATATATATATATATATATATATATATACGAGATAAGGATATATAATTTTATATATCAAGAACGGAATTGAGGAAATTGTAAGACAAAATGGAAAAAAGGTTATTTGTAACGCGTTTCATCCGTTGGGACTTCGTCAACAAACCCAGTTCAATGAAGTCCTAACAGATGAAACGCGCATAACTAATTATATATATATATATATATATATATATATATATATATATATATATATATATATATATATATATATATATATATTTACGTTCGTCGTTAAAAAAACACACTAATATCGTGACTAGAATTAAGTTTGAAATGCATTAATCTATAAAGAAACTAAATTGACCATATTTGCAGCAAAAAATCACTTTTATACACAATAATAAGATAAGATGGGAATTTCTTTTAAAATATACAGTACTTTTCTCTATAAAAGACATAACGATAAAATTATTGCTGAAAATAAAATTGTTGATTATCATGATGACAAAATAATTACCATACTGGCATTAATGATGATGATGATGATGGTGGTGGTGATGATGGTGGTGGTAGTGGTGTTAAGACAGCGTCCATAAGTTGTAATTTGGTGCGTAGATTTCGACAGGATGGACGTTACCATGACAATGGCGAGGAGAGCATTCGTACGTCTCCTACAATCATTGTCCTGGCTCGCCATTTTTCTTTCAGTGGCGAACAGGATTCACGTACAGATACTACGGGTGAAATATATATATATATATATATATATATATATATATATATATATATATATATATGCATGTATACTAATAAAGAACGAATAAAAAATAAAATGAATAAGCTCTCGAACAAACTGAAAGCAATTCTAACGGAACACACCCGAAAATGGCTTGAATTTCTTGAAATACCTTTTTGAAAGGCAACCAATGCAAAATAAAATATTTTAGTTCATAGTTGTACTAGTCGCGCAGAAGAATGAACCTTTTTTTTTTCGCTAATTTAGCCAGGGTTTTATTATTTCCAGTTTTCTCGAATTATCGTTATATAGCTAGTCTTTTAAAGAAAGAAACATATTGTTGAGAATATAACATTGAGAAAATCAATTACTATTATTTTTATTATTTCCGGCGTGGAAAGGTAAGCTAATATATGTATTGAGAAAAATGTGGGTGAATAGAAACATTTTATTAAAAATTATTTTTAAGTTTCATAGACTTCAAAATTTTAGCAAGGAAATCAAATTACAGAAAGAGAAAATAGAGTGGGTATATGCATAATAGGTTATGAACTGGGTAGTTTTAATTTTGCTAACGTAAAATAATAACAATAATAATAATAATAATAATAATAATAATAATAATCATCGACGTCATTTTCGTTTTCACAAAAATGGCGATACTTCAAATTCCTATGAATATACTCCTCTTATATATCATAATATTTTACACATATTTTCTTAATAACAATGTTGATATGCAAGAGAAAAATGTAGCTGTACAAAGAAGTAACTCACACGTGCAAAATAACACGAAATATATGAAGAAGAAGAAAGGCGGCGGCCATTTTTGCAAAATACATTAATCAGCAGATGTCTACACAAACATTTATAAATAAGACAACACGTTAAAAAATATAGGCATTTAAGACATGTAAAGAACGGCCTTGGACCAAAGGCATGTTGAAGTTGGTAAATAACAACAGATAGATTCGTATACTGCTCTCTCCTCAAGGGTATGTCCTATTAGAGTTATAAATTTACATAGTAATGCTGAAAATATTCATGAATGCAAGTTTGTAATATGAAACGAGGTCCTGCGAGCAACGTCAGCTGAAATATGCTGATAATCATTATTCGATCCGTTGGCATATAAATGGAATTAAGTTTGTACAACAAAATAATTTAAACAGCATACGAGTTCAAATGCATATGTATATACAGATACAAATGCCTTCAACTTCACCGACGAACATATATATATATATAAAGTTTAATATATATATATATATATATATATATATATATATATATATATATATATATAATCATGAAAATTTCTCCGATTTAATCGGTAGAAGACAATATTTATGAATAAAAAATGACAATAGGAAAACTGGTAATTACTGACGCGTTTCGTCCAATGTGGACTTTATCAAAGCAAAGAACGTATTTTGCTTTGATAAAGTCCATTGGACGAAACGCGTCAGCAATTACCAGTTTTCCTATTGTCATTTTTTATTCATAAATATATAATCATATATATATATATATATGTGTGTGTGTGTGTGTAGAATGTATACATGTATATACAGACAAATATATGTACACTTTATATATATATATATATATATATATATATATATATATATATATATATATATAAAAGTGAACATTGAAGTCAACTCTCAGAGACAACAGGCTGTTTCATGCTAGATGCAATCCTCAGGCCGCCTGATGATTGCGTCTAACATGAAACAGCCTGTCGCCTCTAAGTGTTGACTTCAATGTTCACTTGTATATTTACACACGCTCTCTCTCTGATATGGAGCACTTTATCCCATAAATATAGTACACCTTAAGACTATATTTCTTCATATATATATATATATATATATATATATATATGATATATATATATATATATATATATATATATATGATTATATATATATATATATATATACATACGTATAAATATATGATAAGAATTATAGTTTTACTGTATGCAATATTTATAGATAAAATGCTCGATATCAGAGAAAGAGTCTATTTACTTACAAACGCATTAAAATGCACACAGACGTCAATTCTGAGTGGCGAAAGTCTGTTTTATGCTTGGACGCACGAATTGTTGTCGTTGCTCAGTGTTGACCAAAGTCTTCACTCTTATATTTTTATATCTACATACGCTCTATAAGTTTTAAGCATCAATATAGCATACGTTAAATCTATACTCTTATGATATACACATACTTATACATATATATATATATATGTATGTATGCATGCATGTATGTATGTACGTATATATATATATATATATATATATATATATATATATTGCAAAATAGGTATTTAATGTATCTCACACCGATAAAAATATAAGAAAAATTAGTTGAAAATGTAACT